TGGGAGACTGAAGTTTAGATGATTGTCGTTGCTCGTGGTGAACTTTTTAAACTTGTAACCAATGAATCTTTATCTTAATATTAGTTATTTTAATGCAATAACTAAAATAATAACTTATTTGTTAAAAATAATAAATATAACTTAAAAATAATTTTTTTCATTTATTTAATAATATATTTTTTTGATAAACAGTGATCGTGTTACTATTCATTGATCGAGCTATGGGAACTTAGCTAAAATTTAGTATGACTTTTCATCCCCAAACAGATGATCAGTCCGAGCGAACGATTCAAACGCTTGAGGATATGCTTCGAACATATATCCTCGAGTTTGTGGGACATTGGGAGAAACATTTACCCTTGATGAGTTTGCATACAACAACAGCTATCACGTCTCTATTAACATGGCACCATATGAGGTATTGTATGGGAGGCAGTGTAGATCACCAATTCATTGGGATGAGGTCGGAGAGTGAAAAATCTTAAGGACAGAGGTCATTAAATAGGCAGCGCAGGCTATTGAGAAAATTCGAGCTAGCATGAAAATGGCTCAGGATAGACAGAAGAGTTATGCAGATAGAAGAAGAAAATATTTAGAATTTATAATAGGTGACAAGGTATTCCTTAAGGTTGCACTAATAAAAGAAGCGTTACATTTTGGCAAGAAGGGTAAGCTCAGACCAAGGTACATTGGTACGTTCTAAATTTTAAAGCGAATTGAAAATGTTGCGTACCAATTAGCTTTGCCACTAGAGCTTTTAGCGGTACACGATGTCTTTCATGTATCAATGCCCAGAAAGTATGTTCATGACCTAACTCATGTGATCAGACACCAACCATTAGATATTCAGCCGGATTTGAGTTACAAAGAAGTACCAATATGCATCATGGCTCAAAAAGTACAAAAGTTTCGTAGCAAAGAAATACCACTAGTTAAAGTGTTATGGCAACACCATTCAGTAGAATAAGCCACTTGGGAATGTGAAGGGGAAATACGATCCAAGTATCCCCAACTTTTTGCCGACGACAATTGAGGTAAATTTCAAGGACAAAATTTATTATAAGGAGGGTAGATTGTGGCCCCTCATACCTCAAATTAGTCATTATATTAAAATGTAGGGCCTCTTCATATAGAAAGTATAGTCTAGGGACCTAATTAATTAATGTCTAATATTTTAGGGATTAAGCACAAATATTTGAATTTCAAAGTGATAGAATCTTTTTGTGATAATTTTAAATAAATAAATTTGATTAGATGTTATGATTATTTTTAAATATTTAACATTTTCACAGATTTTGTTATATGTTATGATTATTTTCAAGTATTCAACATTATCTAAATTTTATTAGATATTATGGTTGTCTTTAATTATTCAACATTATCACAAATTATGCTGGATATTATGATTATTTTTAATTATTCAACATTATCAAAAATTTTGTCGGAAATTAAGATTATCTTTAAGTATTTAAATTTATTCAAATAAATTATGAGATTTATCTCATGCATCATCAGTATACTATAAATACGTGCATGATTTTCAAGAAATTCACACTTCACTTTTTCTCTTCTCTCTCACAACCCGTCTTACACATAAACATATTTCACATTACAAAAATCTTTAGTACTCAGACTATTTAAGAGACTTTGGAGTGGAAACCAAGCAAGCCAGTTTCTTTGATTGCCTTTATTTTCTCAACACAACAGTAAGTATATATGTGTTGTTATGCTGCACTTTTGGAAATATATTTATGAGTCCATATGTATGTTCTAAGTTTCGGACCGGAGTTCTAGTAGTGCTACGCCTGTAAAACTCATACCACCTAAGTTCGATATAATTTCGTGTTTCCTTTATGCAAGTTCTATGATTCTAAAAGTTATATGATTAGAAACTTATGAATGCATATATGCTTATTGAGATTTTCTCACTCTTATGTTATTCCCCTTTCAGGTAACAAAGCAATGGGAAGATTGGAGCTTGGACTTGGTCGTCTTGGTGGAAATAAATTTTGAAGTTTTATGAATTTTCCTTGCAAATTGATTATTTTAAGTATCGTGAATAAGTTGTTGTTGTTGTTGTTGTTATTATTATTATTATTATTATTATTATTATTATTATTATTATTATTATTATTTATTTTTTTATTTTTTTTGAAAGTTGACTTTCTCAATTTATGAAATGAAATTTAAATAAGTTTTCTTTTATGTATTATCTTTTATGGCCCTCGGGATTTAGGACTCGGGTGTCACATATAAAGTCGTTCTTTTCTCAGGAGTAATGATACGGGATTGAAATAAATTTAGATAATTTTGAGTATTCTTAAGAATATAAATCTAAAATTATATTTTTTCAAAAAATTATTATCTTCGAATCAATTTAAAAATTGCAATAGTTTTCATAATAATTTCTCACAAATAAATTGTTTGATCTTAATCTTAACCATTGGATTTAAAGATCAATGAGTTGTGAACATGCTATCCAAATTTCACTACGATCGGATTAGGGATTCCTGAGATATCACTGTTTGATCACAAACTGCTGATGCAACTGTCCAAATTCTGTGAATTTTCTTTTATTTGTTGATTTCAAATTAATAGTACAATTCTTCCATAACATATACAGTCACATCTTTACACGAGTATCAATCCAATATTTTTCTAGAATATTGATTCATATTTTTATTTAGAAAGCAACAATATTCTTTAACAATTAAGATTGGTGAACAAAGTTTTTTTTGACATTTAAAATATAATATGTTCAAAGATTATAATTTTTCAATAATAAAATACAAAATTAGTTTAAATATTATACGTGTGAATTGGTGCTTCTTCAGAAGAATTAAAATAATAAAAATATATAATTTCTTTTCAAGTAATATAACAACATTCTTCTGAATTACTAATTTGGATTGTTTCTTATGAAATATTGAATGAAAAAAAAAAATTTCAAGCAAATATTTATTTATCATAAATCGGTATAGTCAAATCGATATAACCAGATCGAATGACTATACCGTTTGTTATGTACTTTAAATTTAGAAGATAATTGTTCTTTGAGCATCATAGAAGAGTTTCTTTGTAAACACAATTGTCTAGAACTTTTTGAATTTCTTTAATTAAAGAAAAGATTTTTTTTTTTTTTAAAACCTCAAATGGCTATAGAGTTGTGTGCAAGAAGAGGAACAAATTTTACTAGTTCAATTGGCTAGAACTTCACGTTGATAACGTGTTATAAACTAGAGAGAAAATGAGAAGAAAATAGATGAGTCAATAAATTTGTGTGTATATGATTAAAAATCAAAGTCCCGTATTTAAAGAAAAGAATTATGGTTGCAAAAGATACAATATATGAATAACTAGATTGTAGGGTTATAATGGTCATTCACTAATAAACAATTTTTTATTTTTAGTGAAATGGTGTATCCAATGTAAAAATAATTCTTATGGGAGGTTTCTGTGACGAGTCTTGATAATATTGTCTTGATTAGATTTATGCGTGTTCTTACGACATGCTTTGTATATCGAACTTGTTGTGAATAAAATTAAGAAATATATAAGTTTGTTCATAGTTTTCATAATTTTACGTGCTGAAATTATGCTAACGGATGCACCATATGTTATTATTTTAGGCCTAACCAATTTGATGAATTACTTCTAAAGGTTCACATCAAACTAGCACTATTCAAATTCCATATTGTAATATCTTCAGTTCATCAATGTATTTATGCCCAACTAAACTCATAAATATGTTATACTGAATAATGGGTCATACTACACATATATTAGGGTGTTCATAACGGTGTCCACCCATTCACATGAAAGGGGATTCATTGCAAATAAAATATAATTTATTCGAACTGGGTCACCTTCGTATGAGAGGAGGTGGATATCGTTATGAACACCGCATTATATACAAGTAACAAATTCTTTAAATAATCTACTAGATAGAGGAATAATTTATTTAGGCCCTATTTGAGCGAGATTCTTTCAAAAACGTACATTCTTAAATAGCAATTTAATATCATTTTAACCACACGTTATTTAATAAAATAATATTACAGGCAAATCCAAAACTTTTCCTCATTTTTTAACTATATATTCTTCATCAATCTACTATTTCAAAATACATTCTTTCAAAAGAATGTGACTCAAACACAATTATTTTCCGTGCGGCTATGATTTAAAAATGAAATAAACAAAAAAAAAAAATAATCTGCTAGATAGAGAATTTGTATATTTATTTTCCGCGCAGCTATGATTTAAAAATGAAATAAACAATTTTTTTATTTATTTGGGTGGAATTGGATTGCCGTTGTTGTATATGAACACACGAGAGGGGAACTATATATTACCTAAAAAATTAATGTATTTGTGCCAAATTAAACTCATAAATATGTTCCAATAAATGGGATATACATGAAAATGGCCCAAATAATATATAACCTTTTCCAAATTGGCCTTTGACTTTTTTAGAAATTTGAAACTACCCAAAATATCCTTGAAAAAATTTATCAACCAACCCTTTATATAATAAAAAGTTTTTTTTTTTTTAGTCCTTAAAAAATCTAACAAATTATTTTTCTAAAAATTTGTAAAAATTATTAATGAATAATTATAAAATGGAAAAGCCCAAATATAAGAGAGGACCATATAATATAAAAAAGGTTGTTAAAAATAAAAAAGAAATTAAATTTGAAAAAGAAATTGATAAGATAGGATATCAAGAACAATTATATGCATCACAAAAAATATTAAAATGTTTTAAAGAAAACTTATTAGACAATAAATAATCTTCTAGGTAGAGGAATTTATTTATTTTTATTTTCCGTACGGCTATGATGTAAAAATGAAATAACAATTTTATTTTATTTTTTTAACAAACTTTGATGGAGGAATTGGATTTTCCAACCCCTGTTATAGATATGAAACAAGATTACACGAGAGGAGGGGAACTATACCTTACCTAAAAAAAAATCAACAGAAATAAATATGAATGACAATTAGACTTGAACTACGATATATATTTACTTTTAAGATCTGCTCATCCAAAATTTAAGATGATAGAGTAAAAACACACAAGTATATATATTTTCTTAACCACCTGAATAATTCGATTCCAATCACGGACAAAATCTCAGCTCATCAGTACATTTCTACCCAATTAAACTCATGTAAGTGCGATACATATATATGTATAGAACAAATTAAGCGTGTTCATTTATAGTATATAACAGGCATATTTGCTTTGACATCCCATATACCTCCCTCCTTGACATACTCCATATACCTTGAGAATTCAGGTTTTGCTGTTGCCTTCTTCCTTTTCCTGCTTTCAAAAAGACTGAAAAAGGGATGAACCTTACTGGCCTTCTTAACCTGCTCGGTCGGATTAGTACTTGGCCTTGGAACAAGATTTAGATTCTTGGTTGAACTGAGAAATTTAGCGGGCAAGCTTCTGGCCCTACTCAACTTAGGCAGCAAAGCAGTATTAGAGTGCTTATCTGCATCAGTTAACTGATCATAACCCTTATGGCTTCTTCTCCTTGTACTCAAAGCTCTAAACATTCTTCACAAAGAATTAATGATTTGATGAAAAAAGGGTTGGTGAAGATGATAAAGAGCTTTTTGTTAATATACATATATAAGGATAAATTTCATTCGCAGTTGCTTAACTTTAGGTGAAATTTCAGTTGGGTCACTAGACTTCTATTTAGTTTTTAAATTTCATTATTCTTTAATCGTACTCCGAATTGACTAAAAATTACTTGTTGGTGTCATACCATAACTGATCTTCCACTTAATCGTTACATGAAACCTTAGAAATTAAAATAGTAAAATGAGTTTATACAATCTCTTTAGATTATGTGGAAGATCCATAGTTATCTTTCTTCTTTAGATTACATGGAAGATTTATTGTTGTTTGTTAATTAAGAAATTTTCATGAATTAGGGAGAGGGCACGTGCTAGAGTGATAAAATTTGAAATAAAATTAAAAATTAACGATCCGATTTAAATTGAAGTTCAAGTGACATGATTGAGACATCTTTTAGTGACTTGATTGAGATTTTGTTGAAAGTTTAGTGCCCATAGGTTAAATTTAGCACACACACACACACACACACATATATATATATAACGTCACATTCACATTTTCAATAATTACTGGTTTATTGTTTATTATATAAATTTTTTTTATCGGCTTCAAACTTTGTTATTTTGTGATTGTTTGTTTGGCCCATATTTGAAAATAATTGAAAGTTGATGCTGTCTTTGTTGACTTATCGACCAAGAGCCAACTACCATGAGAAGATTGACGGGGCATGTCTTATGGCTCATGAAACAGACAGATACTGAGGATTCAAAATTTGTGTTTACATGAATTGAGGGTAAAATGACATGAGGATTCAAAATTTGTGTTTAAATGAATTGAGGGTAAAATTCTCATTTTACGAATTTCAACAACACTGAAGGATAATAATATCACACCAAACTTTTTTTTATTATCGACATCACATTGTAATTAGAACTAAGGTCTTCAATATTTGTTCATTATCGTACTTGTATCATTTTTTTATCGCATTCTCATTCTTAACCTTCAATTAAGTTAGCATATCTTATTTGTGGCGATGATTTTTGTCGAAATATTATACTAAACACATATTAAATATTGGGCAAAGATTTTCTCAAACTTTTGTATTGGTTATATTTTGCTTATTTAAAAAACACGAAAGACATAAGTTTTTTATACCTTTCTAATGAATTTTTTAGATGAAAATCATTAAGAGACAAAATGTGCAAATTAATAGAACGTTGAGAATAAAATTATAATGCAAAAAGTTAAGGACATAAATGAAAAATGAGAAAAGATTGAAGACGTTCATTACAATAAAATATGATACAATTAAGAAAAACCATGGTGTTTATATAATTACCAATCTTGAAAATGATCGAGTGTATCGAAAGTTGAAGGTCGAGAAGTCAAATATCTTGAGGCTTCAAATCTTTGACTTTCTTGAATTGAAGGTAAAAGAGTCTTCTTATCAAGTTTAACTGTTGACGAATGGGAACCATAAATAAGGACAAAATGCACTAAAAGTGAAAGGTTGAGAAGTTAAATGTTTAAATAAGAAATAAAAATTAGTATGGATTTACGTTAAACTTCAAATGTTAGAGACTAGAGATTACGTGTGATATTTTCCCTATAAATTTCTAGAGAAACAAGAGGTAGGTTAATTTCCTAGCTGCGAAATATACAACTCACGACAATTAAATCGAGTTCTATTTAATTGATCACGTGTGAAACCTTTCATATATAATTTAAAAAAAAAAAAAACGGAAAAAAAGAATTGAATTCCATCTACACATGATAGGATATTTTGAATATGAAAATATGAGTAAATAAATTTTAATTTGAATTCCATCCACACATAATAGGATATTTTGAATATGAAAAAATATAAGTAAAAAAATTTGTTTATATTTTACCATTTAAGCTTTCAAACAAAATAGTCCAAATTTAGTTAAGTAGTAGCTTTGATGGATTGATAATATAAATGTAAATTATTATCTGGTGTGGAAATTGAACTCTTCTAACGGTCAGATGACTGTATGAAGTGTCCCAACTTTATTTTATTTATTTTTTTAAATTAATTTTTAAATTCTCGTTATAAGGTCATGATTGGAGATAGTAGGTCTTTAAGAAATGAATTTAAATCGATTTATTAATTTTAACCACATGTTTGATGTAAAAGTTAAAATTCGTGTCAAAATCAGTTAGAAAAATTTAACGTATATCGATTGAACCAGAAAAATTTCGAACTCATTTAGATATTGTTGGGAAAAAATGGGTGATTAATTTGTGTGTAGATTGATTTTTCATTGTGATCTAGTAAGATCTTTACAATTAGGTTGTCCATTTGAACATAAACGTTGGGATGTCTAGTCAGCTAGGTTGGATTTCCATTGTATCATCTATTCTTTCATGGGCTTTATTCACATTCTCCTTGATAATTTCTCAATTAACATTCTATTTAACCCTTTTGTTTGTAAATCCGCAATACAATCCTCCAACCTTACATAGTTAATGAAGATAATTCCAGTAGAGATTAGTTGTCTAATGCTATTATGCCTTTGATGTATATGTCTTGACTTATCATTAAATATGTTGCTTTGCGTCTTTCCAATTATCACAATGTATGCATATTGTAGCTACAAGCTTTTACCACCTTGAAATATTCTCTAAGAAATGGCGTAGCCATTCTGTATCTTCCCCATATTTGTCTAGTGTGATTAATTCAGATTCCATTGTGTATCTGACTATAATAGTCTGTTTAGAGGATTTTCAAAATATAGCTACACCTCCTAGTATGAACACATATCTGCTAGTAGACCTTGAGTTTTTTATGTTAGATATCCAGTGTGTAGGAGTGGCAAAAGGGTCGAGTAGTTCGTCTACTCATTGACTCAAGTCATGAAAACTCAATCCATGGACCGCTCGAGCCCGCGAACGACTTGTGGACACGACCCTCGAGCTCAACTCGTAGCTCGTAAAAATGTGAACAAGAAAGTAAAATTAAAAAAAAAAAAAAAAAAAAAACCAAAAAAAAAAAAAAAAAAAAAAAATTTTTTTTTTTTTATAAAAATAAAAAAAAATAAAAATAAAAAAAAAAAAAAAAAAAAGAAAAAAAAAAATAAAAAAAAAAAAATAAAAATAAAAAAAAAAAAAAAAAAAAGAAAAAAAAAAATAAAAAAAAAAAAATAAAAATAAAAAAAAAAAAAAAAAAAAACTTGATCTTGTAGGCTAGGCTCATTATCTCATGAGCTAGTGGGCTGAGTCGAGCTTGGCCCTTGAGCATGAGCTAGGCATGAGCTCGGCTCATGCTTGAACATGACGAGTCGAGCTCCATGCCCGACTCATTCTTGAACATGAGGAGTCGAGCTTGTGGGTAGCTAGCTTGGCCCATTGTCACCACAACCAATTTTCATCACTGTATTCTTCTAGGACAGCTGGATATCATATTTAGTGCAGTTCATAGATATCAGTCTGTCTAGGTATCTCACGTCTTATACAACTCATTGAGTACATTAGACTACCAATCACTGTAGAGTATTCTATTTGAGAATTAATCTCTTTTATTCTTGGATAGATGTACACATATATCTATTGGTGTTATGGAAACACCAGTGTCATCTTTACTAAATTTTTCAAGAGTATTTTCAATATAATGGGACTGATGTAAGACAAGCCCATCTAATATTCTCAAGATCTTTATTCAAGATAACAACGACTAGTTCCACTGTTTTAGTGTCAAATATTGAATTCAACATATCTTTAGTAGATTTGATCACCCTATTATTACTATCAACAATGAGCAAGTCATAAATGTATAGACAAAGAATAACATATCCATTCTTAGTGTCTTTGATAGATAAATACATTTAGTCTAGACCTTCTTGTTGTAATAACCTTTAATTAAAAACCATTCATTGTTTTTATCAATTGATACGTCTGCTTTCATATTCCTCTTGAAAATCCACTTAGATCCAGAGGCTGACACCCATGGGAAAGACCCACTAACTCTTAAGTATGATTTTGCAGTATGGAATCAATTTCGCTATTAATGATCTCTTTTCACAAAGGTCTTTCAATAGAGCTTACTGCCTCTTTTAAAATTCAAGGCTTATTTTCCACTAGATAGGTCAAAAAAATCGGGAATAAAAGATTTTTTTGCCCTTGCTCATTTTACTACTTCTAGGTTATCTTGAATCTTTCATTTTCTTCGTGTTCTTGGTTTTGAATGTTTTCAGTAATAGTCTCAAATGTTAGTTTTGACGAACATTGTCCTTCTTTGGACTTATAAGGAAATATATATTCAAAGAACAATGCACTTCTTGATTCCATTATCATATTTTCGTATATGACTAAAATTTTAGACTCATGCACAAGAAACAGGCATACAATATTGTTATTTGCATAGCCAATAAAAATGCAATCAATTATTTTTGGATCAATTTTCACTTTCTTAAATATAGGTACAACTACGTTAGCAAGACATCTTCACATTTGTAAAAATTTATAAAAAGGCTTCATTTCTTTTCATAATTCATATTGAGTCTTGTATTCCTTTTTCGAAACACCTTATTTAAAATATAATTTTCTGATAGAATAGCTTATCCCACATGTTTTGAGGCAACCCAGAAATTGCATTCATTATCTCTTTCAAGGTATGATTCTTTTGCTGAGCAACACATTTGAAAATTATGTTATTTTCTCAATCATGAAAATATGTTATTTTTTCGAATGAATATATGCTTATTTTTCAAACACAATGGAAATTAAGCTATTTTGAACAACTAAACAGCAGTCTACAGATAATTTTCAAAAAAATAAAAATAGAAGTGTCTTTGCACAGCCTAAACAAGTCTAATCTCCTTAAAAAAATATTCAATCCTCACGTTGGCTACATGGTTAGGTCCCATTAAAAACCCAGGCTCCTAGACAACACTTCTTTGTATGGTAACTTTCAGTTTCCAAGATTTTACAGATTTTAGGAAAGAATATTATTTTTCACAACAATAAATCTCTGAAATCCAGC